AACCAGGACAATAACAAACACACAGTATCTTTCCTCACAAAGTTAGTTCTCATTGTTGTGTTCATTTTGGCCCTGAACAACTCCTAGTATTCAATGAGTGCTCCAGAAAACTTAGCCTTTATAGTTCTCATAGAAGCGGCCCCACTTCACACTCATATAGGTGATTTTTTATTAAGAGTATCCTACCATACCCCACTTGAATTTTCAAGGTATAAAAGTCATTAAAAGTATAACTTATCCTAATCATCGCTGTAGGTAGCACTGTCTCATCATAGAAATGGGTAGAAGATTTATATCTTTCCAGTGCTTCTGGTGAGTTACTCAGAATTTCTGTTGTCCATTTGAACCTAGATCTTGGGATCTTCAGTCAGCTAGGTTGGGTTTCTATTAAGGTGACTCGTTAGCTTTCGGCTTTAAACCCCATTCCCCTTGATGAACTGTACAATTGCTCCCTAATACAACCTTTAATTTTATATGTGGCCACATGGTTGTATATAGAAATATTATACTCTACAGAGATTTCCCCAATTGAGAGCAAATGTATACTTTGTGCCTTAAAATTGCTTATTGTTAGCAATATCATTTTCTTTAGTGGCACAGGTGTAGACTTACATTGAAATGTCCTCTAGGTGAAGTCTATTGACTTTCTTATTTAATTTATTCAAAGTTTCTAACTTTAAATTATATTAAGAATATACAACTACACCTTTAATATTAAAGACATATCTACTCATAGATTTGAAGTCTTTAATATCCCACATCTAGATTACATCACTATTACACTTCCAATTTAGTTAGATACATCGATCTATACAATATTGGACTTAGTGTGTATCTCAACTATCCAATTTATTATTTTTCAGTGATCCTATCCTGGATTAAAAGTACGTGTGTAATTAATCACAGTTATTAAGATGCCTTGCAATCTTAACCAGTGATATACTTTGACTAGTATTTGTATTTGAGATTACATCTACAAAAGTTAGCTAGGTTTTTGTTGTCATAATTAGTATTATCCCAATCTCACTCTATTGAGAATATACTATATTATCAGATGTTAAATCTTTCATATCAAATATATCATTAGTATATCATTAAATTTTTTTTTTTTTTTTTTTTTTTTTTTTTTTTTTTTTTTTTTTTTTTTAAGGCATATAATGACTTATGCATCACATTTATATCATTATCTCAATATCAGCTTTAATCCACTCAAGAACTTTTAAGCTTGTACACTTTACTCTTCAGCTAGAACAAATAACTCAGCTCTTGTGCTAGAAAAAGAATTCTTCTAGTTGTTCTATAATATTTTCCTCATAGGAAAAAACATGCACTATTGTTATAATACTATAAATGATTTTTGGTTCTATCCTAAAACTCTTAGGATTAGGAACCCCCCACATTTATAAGTATTTCTCTTAAGATGAGACGTCTTATAACAAATTTCATTTATGGATGATATCACCCCACAACTTTGGGATAAATCTTGAAATTGTATTTATTATGGTTTTCAAACTCTTGAAATACCATATACTAAATACTTCACCTCAACAAGCATGTATAACAATTTCTAGTCCATATGTATTCACTTTATCTCTAACTTGTTCTTATAACAAGTCACTGACGTTATTGTGAATTAATACTAAAGATATGAATTACAATGGGCTCTAATTAATATTTACTTCTACATCTCTTATATTTATGAATTAAATTATTCATCTTTAGATTCATGTCAAGTCAGTCATCTTAACATGTCATAACCTTTCATATGTCACACATCACATAACTCAACCATTTAAGCAAATAACTCACTTATTGTTTAAGCTTTGGATACATCACCACAAAGTGAGCACTCACTTCTCAACTATCATTACTAGTTAAAAGTGAGTTTTTAACCTCTCATTACTAGCTTAGATTAAGCACACTCTTCTCATTAATTATTACTAGTTTATAATGAGCACCCACTTCTCTGCTATTACCACTAGCTTGAAGTCAAGTTTGCTCAGTTATCAATTCTAGTAGCTCTTAACTTTAGTACATACTTAACTAAGTAGTTTACCTTGGTAGTAAAGTAATTTGTTTTGAAAAATATTCTTCAAAAACTACTACTTTACAAGTAGTATTATTCACTCCTACATAAGTATATATGATGTATAACTCAAATAGCTTATTACTAAAATGGCTACTCATCACCCTCGTGTTTTTTACTACTAAGTAGAGAGCAAGAACCAACTAACAGATTTTCATCTTCCTCTTAGGTTCTGTGCACCTCATTAATCTTTTAACTTATGACTAAGCTAACTAGTTTGCAACTCAGTAACATTTTAGCTTTCAGCTAAATTGTACATTATAGCTAACTAGCTTGATTTAGCTTGTCTCAGTGTATTTGCTTACTATATCCATAACATTTTTCATTAAACACTTTAAAGTTATCGGAAAATCTTATCTTATTCAGCCCATTCACAGCAATACATGTCTTTAAATACTAGTATAGATCTTTTTCCTTTGATTATCGGGAGAATTAACATAACTAGACTAGTCAATTTTTGTCTGTTGTATTAAATACACAAACCAGTCATAAACTCATACAAAATTAATAATATCACATATTAAATCAACAAAATTAATAATATCACACATTAAATCAATTGTATTGTAAAATAAAATTATTATGCACATTAAGTAATATTATAATCTCAATTAAAAGTAAGCATTTACATAAATAATATTGAACTCACATAAATAATATTATACCACATGATTAATTATATCACACAACTAATCTAAGAAATAATAATATTCGGGAGAAGACTTTGCTTTCTCAAAACTTTGTGCCTCATTCTCCAATAAACATACTAGAAAATCATGACCAAAAGATGTAGACGTTTTAACCCACAAGAAAATGATATACACTACTGTTATGAGCATAACCTATCAAAGGTTTTATGTAACGATCCACTTCATCACATGGTATGATATTGTCTGCTTTGGGCCTGAGCTCGCATGATTTTATTCTTGGGTTTTATCCCAGAAGGCCTAATACCAATTGGAAATAACACTACCACATAAAACACTTCACATTTCCCTTACCTAAGTGATGTGGAACTGTACACTTGTAACTCGCCTAGTGTGATAGCCTGTCGGTGCCTCTTGCACCTGTCTATGACACACACACCTACAAGGTCGTCACATTTTAGGTTCCACTTTAACTCTCTTAGGAGTAGGATCTACAACCTCAAATAGACACCCCCACACTTTTAAGAATTTATAGAAAGGTTTTCAACCTTTCCATAATTCATATGGTGTCATATTTCTAAGGTTTTATCTTTGCTTCGTAGCAAATATACATAACAGTATCTTATGCAACCATTGATAAAAGTAACGAAGTACCTTTTTCCACCTCTAATTGGCACATGTTTAAGGTAATGTCATATACTTCATAATATCATATTACAAAATTAAAATAATTCAACCAATATTAAATAATTCAATAATCTACTTATATAACAAGTTTCAATTTCACATAATATTGAACGCATTAATATTTAACATATTATCATATAATAATGCATATAACATTTTTTTTATTTATTATATCTCAACTATTAGTATAATATCTACTTGTTTATATCTTAAATAGAAACATATAATAAAATCTACGCAAGGAATGCATCTGTCTTAAGATTGTTGGTAAAAATATATACTTCATGTGACATTTAAGATGTAACAAACCTTATACTAATATGTTATGAGATAATTAATAATATGCTAAGAAATCATTAATTAAATATGCAACTCTATATTTAATTAAATATGCAAAATAAAGTAATAAAATAATAATAATAAATAAAGAACCTGGACCGAGGCTAGTATTGGATACTATGTCCTTAAGACAGATTCGCCCCGCTATGGTGCTAACGGACTCAGTTGCGTCTATCTCCCAAGATACAACGGTCTACATCCACCAGTAGCAGCACTACAAACTCGTAGATACGGCGAACTTTCTCTGTGTAATACTCTCTCTGACTCAAAAATGCATTTATACTATATAAATGCTGAATTGGGTACAATACGAACCAAATGGTTCGGACCAATCTTAATATGGCTCGAAGAAATTGAATTAGGGTCTAAGTGGTTCGGACCACTTAACCTATGGTTTGAACCCACTTGGGTTGGGTTCAAGTCTAGAGAGGGAGATAGAAGAAAATGTAAAATGAATAATTTGCAAATGATCCAAAGGGGGGTATTTATAGAAACAGAAATGCCTTTTCGGATTAGGTGCGTCTCTTCATCATTAGACACAACCATTCCAATAGGTTGCAATGGTTCACATAGTTTCTGTTCACCAATAGACACATCCATTCTAATAGGTTGCAATGGTTCACATAATGTCTGTTCACCAATAGACACATCCATTCCAATAGGTTGCAATGGTTCACATGAATAGTTATGTCTGTTGGTTTTGAGTTGCAACCCTTTAGAAACAGATACAACTATTTGAAAAATAGATGCTACCCTTTAGAAATAGATGCAACCCTTTGAAAAAAAAAAAAAACTAACTTTTAATTTAAATTCAAAAACAAACCATCCATTTAAATAAGCCCAGCCCAAAATTAAAGACCCAATCCAAGATTCCATTTAATAAAAAGAATAATTGGACTTTACTATTAGGCCCAAGCCCAAGCCCAAATTTGACTTATTTAAATTTCAATTAGTTTCAACATTTTTTTCCATGTGGGACAAACACTTCCCACATTTTGTATACCCATTTAGGCTTATCAAAACACCACACTTTGGAACTAATTTCTCATTCACCCGGAAACGGATTTGAGAAAGTAAATATACTATGTTCATCTCCTTGCGAAGAGAAACGCGCTCGTTCGCAAAAAATTATTAGCGGAATATATTCTAAACCTCATCCAAAGTTTATGTTTTTAATGCCCCCGTTTCCAACATTTTATTTATTCACAATTTCTAAACATCTGATTTTTGTCTCTAGTTTTGTGAAGATGGTGACTCCGAGGATTTGAATTTGGTTGAACAAAACTCGGTGCCTTGTCGTCTGTCAAGGCATCTTCAAGAAATTGAAATTTCTGGATTTGAGGGTTTGAGTGATGAGCTGAAGCTGATAAGAGTACTTTTTGAGTAATGGTGAAGTATTGCACGAGTTGGCAGTTATTTCTGATTATTCAAAAGAAGAGCACAAGAGAGAGTTCCTCGAGAAGCCGCTAATGTTTCCTAGAGGTTCAAGAAAATGTCGAATTTTCCTGTCGAATCGAGTCGGCTCGTGTTGAAAGACTATGAATAACAGTATACATTCTTGTACATCAAATTGGTGAGGACACTTCATCCATAACCTAGCATTTTCCGGTTCTTTCAAAAATGTCATATGTATATGTTCTGGCATGTACTTCATTCCATGTTGATCGATGGTTATGGTTACTCAGGCTTCGTTGAGCTGCAATGATGGTTCTAAACTTTGTTTCCCTCAATTGTCATTCTCTGCCATAATCTGTCGTTGACTCTATGTTATTATTGAATACAATTCTTCTAGTTTATTAAGCTCTAATGGTATATGCTTTAGAATGTATTGATACGTGGGAGTACGTATTATTTCCGGTCAATGATGAGTAGTTATTTTTTATTATCTAAAAAAATATTGAGTATTCATCAGCAGAGTACTATATATATATATATATATATATATATATATATATATATCTCCGGAGTACATTATTTTTTCATTCTTTATGAAATGAAGTACTTGATTTTTATTCAACATCTCCTAGCCTTCATTATTTTCATTTGGTTAGAATTAAATTAAGGAAATTGAATCTTTGTATAAACTAAATAAATTGAATACTTGATTTCTTCAATATATCTCTTAGCCTCAATCCCATATTTTTCAATTGTTTAGTAATAATTGTTCTATTTCAAATATCAATAACTTATATTTTATGACAGTCTCAATTTATCTTACTCTATTGAAATGATAAAACAAATTAAAGTGTCAAAAATGACATCACCCTGGATCCCACCAGAGGGTAAAAATTTAATAATTATTTAACATGAATCTATTAAGAACCTAGGGTGGACATATAAAGTGGGACAAAGAAAGTATTACTTTAATTTTTACAGTATTACCTTTTTTTTTTTTTTTTCCACAGTATTACTTTATTATTTTAAATTATTACTTGTATTTACATAAAGTGGGTCTTTGTTGGGGCCTAGGGTTAAATTTTTTTATAGGTTATGTTCTGTATATAAATGAATAATTCTTGAAAATTTTCTCACAAATGTTCCTAGTATTTATTTTCTAAAAATAAAATAAAATTGGTAGAGTAGTTTCTTAGATTTTCTATTCTTGTTTCATATGCTTTTTATGTTTATATTATTTGTAATTTTTTTTTGAATGTACAGTCTGTGAGATATTAATTTTTAAATTTTGAATGAATTATGATTCAAATAAAAGAGTAATAAAGACATTTTGGTCTAATTCTTTTACCTCTCATATAGTTGGAGGGGGTTCTTCAATGGTGTTTACTGTAAAATGCTCAGGGGTTTATTGTATTTTGTCCAAATATAAATTTACATAAAAACTAAATTGACAAAAAAGTCCTTGCATCAGACTAATGCCGAAGGGGTTTATTGTACTTTGCCCAAATATAAATTTACATAAAAACTAAAATGACAAAAAAGTCCTTGCATCACATAATCTGATTGCAATCGAGAAAGAGAGAGAGACCCACGCTGACACACAGTGCATCATTGTCTTTTCATTTCTGTTCAAACACATTTCCAGGGAGAGGGAGAAAGAAAGGGGCGATTAGGGTTTTGGTAATCTCTTGAACACACTTCAGATAGTTTGTGAGAGAGAGTGGAGGGCTGGGGTTTCACTTTCTCCATTTTCATTGCTTTGTTCAACACAGTTGTCGGTAAGAAAACTAAATCAAACACATTCTTTGTTCTGAGGATTTCATTTTTTGTCAAATTTTACTGTCTTAAGTGGGCTCTTATCGTTAGCTGCATATGTTGTTTCTTTATTGAAAGACTATGAAGTTGTTTTTGTTACATTTATTCCTGACAAGTGAGCAACGAACAGGGTCCTCTTTAACATCGGCAATTATCAGCCGATGCCAGCAACATTTTTGTATTCTGATGATCGTTTCCCCAACGCATCCCATCTTCTCCATAGTTTGAGTTATTTTTGAAGAATTTGTATGAGGTTTTGTCTCTATCAAACTTGTTCTTGGGTTTTGATTGTGATTTTCATACCTATATATATATATATATATTTGTTTGGTTTTCTATTTGGCAAAGTCGGCTACAAAATTATGGTTTATTCATTTTAGTGGATCTGAAAGTCTACTTCTGAATTGAGTAGTTATTTTTTTTAATGTCCAACAACTGTTTGACAGAATGTGCCTATGAGCTTTGTTATGTTCTTTAGTGCCTATGGGCTTTGTTTGTTAGAAATGTTAATGTGTGTCCTGTCCTATTTTCCATATTTAATCAAAATTCAATTTATCTACCAAAAAGATTAAACATGTTGATTATCAGGGATAGAGAGACAAAGATGAATATGAGAGAGATATAGAACTGATGTAATTGAATTGATGTAATGATAATGATACTAAACAGGTATAAATAGGCTAACATCAAACGGCCAGTAAATCACTATAAATCACTATTACAACGGCTATAATATAATGTAATTATGGTAGTATATAATATAATCTAATTATGTTAACATCCCCCCTCAAACTCAAGTTGGTAGAGCAGAAACCAACTTGAGTTTAGAGAGAAAATCTTGAGCAAAAGATGGTACCGGAGTTGTGAATATCCGATACGTTGAGATGCTTAAAAGCACATGATAGACCACTTACGGCAGTGTGGTAGCCTTGAGAGAGCTCTTGAAAGCAAAATATTAGAGTGGAATCATAGAGTGGAATTTACCACTTGAGAGACGCACGGATGAGTATGACAGAGCGAGATTACCGTTTGATAGAGTGTTATAACCACTTAAGATGCGCACAGGCGCATAAAGACCACTTTGCGGCAGATGTGGTAGCGATGAGCTCTTGAAAGCTAATAATTGAGTGGAATCATAGAGTGGAATTTACCACTTGAGAGACGCACGGATGCGTCGATTACCAGGGGTGTTTGTGGAAGCATCGATTACCAGGGGCGCTCGTGGAAGCATCGATTATAGAGGCGCTTGGAAGTGTCGATTACAGGGGCACTTGGAAGCGCATCAGAGAGAGTTAGATCAATGCCGAGAAATTAGGCGGGCTGTACTCCGGAAACTGGAACTGGTCGGAATACACCTCCTGAAGTTCTAGAGGGATATCAGGAGCACTTAGAACTTGAATCTGAAACTAGATCAAGGTTGAACTGAACCGGGCCGAATATTGATCTGGGCCAAAACTGAACTGGGTCGGAATACTGAACTAGGGCGATTCTGAAAAATTGGGTTTGGAATAGTCCAAACAAGGAATTATATATATATATATAGATTTTTTTTCTCACGTGATTAAAGTAATGATGGCAAAAGTATGATTAAAGAAGGGTTGGTGGCAAAAGAATGATTAAAGAATGGTTGGTAAGTGGTGGCCAATCAGAGAATTATAGAGTCTAAGAGTGAGAAATTGTGGACAGAGCTATATATATATATAGAGAGAGAAAGAGTTTTAGAGAGAGGTTGAGGGTATATGCTGTGTTGGTGGACAGTGAACAACGGTGAAACAGAGGACAATGGCGGCGACTAAGAGCAGACGAGGCGGCAGAGGGCATCAACGGTAGTAGGTGAGCAGAGATCCGACGGCGGCGAGACAGAGCTCGGCGGCGAAGACGGCTGTGAGAACAGATCCGGCGGCGTGGTGAACATGGTTGCAGGGGTGACTTCAAGATCTAGGAAGTCGAAATCGGTGTGGATGCCGGTGTGGACAGTGTCCCAGAGGTCGGTGGTGAATGAAGACGGTGAGATTCGGTTCCGACGATGACAATCCGATCCCCGTTGGTCATCCGATCACTGAGACGAGGTGAGACAGCGATCCAGAGCAGGTCGGCGATGAAGGCGAGGACTTCGATCCCTCTGATTGGCGATGCCGACGATGTGAAGACGGGGTTGGGTCAGCTATGCCGACGGGGATCTGAGCTGTTGGTTCTCCGGTGGCAGTGATTCAGATCGAGCTGGTGGTTCAGATCGAGCTCCGATGGGCGACAGTGATTGGGGCAGTGGTAATATATATATATATATATATATATATATATATATATATATATATGGCGGGGCAGTGGTGATGGGCGACTCGTCTGTGTTGGGATCGTCAGACTTGATCTTTCCTGGGGTGCGGGGAGTGAAGGTATAGGCTGCCGGATTCGAAGGCGGTGCAGGGGTTGAGCGCTGCCATGGCAAGTGGGTTTTCTGTATTGGAGGTCTGACGGCGGGATGGACAAAGAGCAAGCGGCGAGCGAGAGGTGGACTGTAGGATTTGGACGGCAATTCTTGTGAATGATGCCTATGGCGATCAGAGGCCGAAGTGTACCCAGGTATGTAACTGGGTTTGATTGAGAACCTTGGACCGCCGTCGGAGATGAGGCTTATGCCGACATCTCCGGCGGTGGCTCTGATACCATATTGATTATTAGGGATAGAGAGACAAAGATGAATATGAGAGAGATATAGAACTAATGTAATTGAATTGATGTAATGAGAATGATACAAAACAGGTATAAATAGGCTAACATCAAACGGCTCGTAAACCACTATAAATCACTATTACAACGGCTATAATATAATGTAATTATGGTAGCATATAATATAATCTAATTATGTTAACAAAACATGTGTATTCTCAACTTCAGTGGTATGTATGCTTTTAAGTTTGTATAAAGTAATTCTTCTTCTAGTTTTTCTATAGATTTCGAATATATTTTTTCATTTGCATTATATACATTATCCATTGTATCAGTTTTCTAATTTACCAAGTGGTTCCACATACAAAATTATTGAACACGTACGTGTTCATCAAAAGTACTATGTGGGAACCCAACTGATTGAAGCAAGAAAACCAACCATCTGAATCTCTGTGCTGTAAATTATTTTCTTGATTCAAACTTCTCAATTATCTCATGTACTTGTTATTATTATTATTATTTTTTATTATTATTTTTTTTTTTGTGCTTATGCGTAACACACTCATTTTGTCTGTGACCTCGAACTCTTAAACCTTTCAACCCTAGAAAGTTCAGGAGATACACTGAATACAAGTTTGGTGGTTCTCATGTCATATATATATATATATATATATATATATATACCATAAAATATATCCTATAATTTTTTAACCATGGCTTTGGTGTTATCTATTTTTGCATTACAGAACCATGGCTTCAATATCAAACCATGAGGGATCTTCCAAGAAAGTGAAAAAACTTAACAACAAGGGAGATCGGATCAGCAGCTTGCCAGACTCTCTACTTGTTCACATTCTCTCTTTCCTTCCTACAAAATACGCAGTTGGAACCAGCATACTCTCATCAAGATGGAAACACCTATGGGCTTCTGTTCCCACTCTAGACTTTGACGGCAAGTTGACATTTAAACCTCATTCAGATATGACTTCTTCCAACTTCATGAACTTTATTGATCGAGTTCTTTTCAATCATGAATCATCCTGTATTCAGAAGTTCCGTTTGAAATGTAATGGAAAAACTGATTTATTTAGAATATATACATTGATAAGTGTAGCCGTAAAGCGTGGTGTTCAAGAACTTGATATATATATTGGATCACCTGGGCAAGATTTTGACTTACCTATAAGCCTCTTCACTTGCCCAACATTGATGGTCTTGAAACTGGGATTTGATGCTAGATTCAATGTTCCTTGCTCAGCCTATTTCAGAAGTCTCAGGATTCTCCATGTTTCAATTTTTTTTCTAGACAATGACTCGATGCAAAATCTCATGCGTAACTGCCCTGTTCTTGAAGATCTGTCAATAGAAGGAATGGTTCCGAATAATAATGAAGAACTAATTATTGATTTCTCCACCCCTGCTTTGAAGAGCTTAAAACTAGACTTTGCTGCAGAAGAGTATTCGGGAGTTTATGGTGACAAAGTTGTGGTCAATGCACCAATTCTCGAGTATCTTAATCTCCGAGATGATTACTTGCCTTGCTATGTTCTAGGGGACGTAACCTCGCTGGTTAAAGCAGATGTTGATGTTGGAAGCTGCTGTATAAAAATCGAGTCAACCAAACAACATGCTGATCGTGTTCTGGTGATTCTCAGGGAAATTTGTACTGTCAAATATCTATCTCTAGGCGCTGGTACCATGGGGGTAAGCTGGCAATTCTATTCTTGATATTATTGAGTGTTGAATCCCTTATTCCTTTGAAGTTTTTTAAGATTTTTATTTTTGAAATTTGATCTAGATTATATATAGCACTTTCATGACTCATCTTCATGTCTGTCTTATTAAGGCTCTCGACTATGCTCGTGACAATGAACTGCTTTTGTTCACTAATTTGATTCGTTTGGAGCTGCATGTTAAGGATTGCTATGGCTGGAAAAGTCTACTACACTTGCTCAATAGCATGCCTAACCTGGTATATCTTGTTTTCAAGAAATCGGAGGTGAGTAATCTTACGAGGGAACAGTTTGAATTATATGTAGTTTGTTATTCACAATTTCTGAACTTTGTTATTTCTGTCTCTAGTGTTATTATGAAAATGATGATTCTGAGGATTTCAATTTTGTTGAACACGAAGTGGTGGTGCCTTGTTGTCTGTCGATGCATCTTCAAGAAATTGAAATTTCTGAATTTAGGGGGCTGAGTGATGAGCTGAGGCTGATAGAGTATTTTCTGAGAAATGGCAGTGTATTGCATAAGATGACAATCAATTCTTGTAATTCGGTAGAAAAGCAAGAGAGAGAGGAGCTTCTCAAGAAACTGCTAATGTTTCGAAGAGGTTCAATAAACTGTCAAATTTTATTTTTGTAAGATCTTTTCTGTCATGCCATCACGAGGGGCTTGTATCTTTAGTTGCACCTGTTCTTTCTGTTTTGAAGGATCATGAACTTGTTTTTGTAACATTTATTGATGAGAGTGCAGTAATTGATTTTCCCTTTCAAATTTGGAGAACTTTCAATAATCTTTGTTGTAGTGCTTATTAATGCGATTTATATGAAAATTGAAGCAACCAACAGTGCTTTTGACATTAGACCATGCACAATAATCTGTCAATGATTCCAGGTTATTGAATAAATCTCCTAATTTGGTGAACTAACTTATTCAGTTTTAAGCTTTTATCAGAGTAGGCCATATAAGGAACAACATTGCAGACTAGAGCGAGAATGCAAGGGAATAAACCAGTGGTACTAAAAGATTGCATCCCAAGCTCCATCACCATATACCAGGACTGAAAACCCAATGAAGTAAAACGGATAGAATACGAAAATTTGGGCGGACTAACCCAGTCACAACTCATAAATTTTGAAATTTGGACTCAAAACAACAATTCGGGCTCATGTTCGGGTTGAGTTTTGTCAAAACCCAAACATGTTCGGGTTGGGCTCGGGCTCAACCCGAACCCAACCTAACCCAACCCAAAACCCAAAATTTAAATTTATTTTATTTTATTTTATTTTATTTTTTTCTCTCTTTTGGGTGACAATAGAATCCAATCTAAAATAACCCGAACCCAACCCAAAACCCAAATCGTCCGGTGTATACTTAGAATTTGCTAGTGCCTCTGCTCCCAAATGACATTACACAAAAAATAAAAATCTGTTGGAAGTGTTCTAATTATACAAGCACTTTCATGCAAGGATTACAGAATGGACGAAATCTGTTGGAAGTGTTCTAATTATACAAGCACTTTCATGCAAGGATTACAAAATGGACTGGTCCATGAACTCACCACCATCATCAATTAAATGGAGTCAAGGACAGATTCTGGTCTAGAATCAGAATTGGAGGAAACCTACAGAAGTGGAACTGTTGAAGACATACAGCTATTAATCATTGCAGCTCAAAGGAGCAGCATTCATGATGGTCCATCATAAAATAAAAGGTGTTAAAAAAAATAAATAAATAAATAACATAAAATAAAAGTACATGGGAAAATGCTAATTTGATACAGAAGTGATGGGCCTTCTATGTTTGTTAATTGAAAATGTCTATTTATTGGGCCTTTTAGTTTGGTCCTGATCCTATTGTTCTAAACCAATAATGGACTCAATTACTATTAAAACCATCAAAACGTCTCACTGGCTACTTTCATAGTTTCATGGCTCCATAACAAAACCATTGGAAATCTACAGAGCAGAGACATGTCCACACACCGTTCTCTCTCTCTCTCTCTCTCTCTCTCTCTCTCTGTCTTCCAACCGTAAGAGGCTGAGAGCCACGGACTTCTCACCGGAAATCTACCATCTCTCGCTCTCTCCATTACTGGTAAGAGCTCTTACATTTGCGAAATTGATTTTAAGGTTTTAATTTCGCGCTTAGGGTTTCAAGAATGAGTTTGGTCTATTTGGAGTTCCGTAAGTAAAATCCATTTGCATGCTTTACAGACCTAAATTCGTTTGGCATGTTTAGGGTTTCAAGAAATCATGAGGAAGAGGATAAATGCATGTCAACTATATACTAAAACCCTAAAACTGCTCAAATCCCCCTTTTGTATACTAGCCTTACATATAAGTCTGCAATCGGGGAACCCTGGTTGGTCGTCATATCTGATTGTATATACACATAAGAGTTTATATACTGATCCATAGAAATATACACTTATTCAATAGTAAAATAATTTAATAGAAAACCCTAGCTTTGATTGATCCAAATGCTATTTAAGTCTATAGTCTATACCATAATTATGATGGAAGGAAATTTATTGGAATTGTGCTCACACCTGAAATCTTTGAAAACAAAACCATTTTTTTTGGGGTAAATAAAGTGAAATTAGAAAGAAAAAGAGAAGGGACAACAAAAGGCTTACAAAATCCAACACAAACTCAAGAAACAGAAGCCATTCTAGTTTGTCACTTCATCAAAGATGGCAAAAGTTATATACAGAAATAATTTGGAAAATTGTGTTATAACTGATGTGCAATGAACACTTCATCTTCTTTGATCTCTTTGTGTGTTTCTCCATCCAGTCAAAGTTCCCATTGACACATAATTTTTTAGCACTGGATATTGTTTTCTTTGTACTCCGTACTTGATATTGTTTTCTTTGCTTGACTAGTACAAAATTTTCAATAAATTATTTCATATACTTGTTATTATCTATATTTTTTTGGTGCTCATGAATAACGCCTACTCATTTTGTTTGACTTCAAAACACTCAATCTTTCAGTTTGAAAAGTTGAGGAGATGCATTGATTACAACCTTTGGTGATTCTCATTTCATATACCTAGCGTAATATAATCTTTTACCTATGTCATCTATTTTTGCATTACAGGACCATGGCTCCAATCGTAAACCATGAGGGATCTTCAAAGAAAGTGAAAGAAATTCTCGACAAGGGAGATAGGATCAGCAGCTTGCCAGATTCCCTTCTTGTTCACATTCTCTCTTTCCTTCCTACAAAATACGCAGTTGGAACCAGCATACTATCATCAAGATGGAAGCACCTCTGGGCTTCTGTTCCAACTCTAGACTTTGATGCCAATATGAGATTTAGACCTTCTTTTATGAGTTCTTCCAACTTCATGAACTTTATTGATCGAGTTCTTTTCAATCATGAATTGTCCTGTATTCAGAAGTTTCGTTTGAACTGTGAAGCAGAAATTGATATATCTAGAATATATACATGGATAGGTGTAGCCATAAAGCTTGGTGTTCAAGAACTGGATATAAACGTTAGACCACCTGAATTTGATATAAAGATTAGAGCACCTGAACCAGAGCAAAATGTTGACTTGCCTTTAAGCCTCTTCACTTGCCCAATATTGATGGTCTTGAAACTGGGAAATAAAGTTAGATTCGATGTTCCTTACTCAGCCCATTTCAGAAGTCTTAAGATCCTCCACATTTCATTTGATTATCATGTCAATGGCACGGTGCAAAGTCTCTTTCATAACTGCCCTGTTCTTGAAGATATGTTCATGGAAGGAATTGTTTCGATTTATGAAGAAATAAAATTTGATGTCTACAAACCCACTCTGAAGAGTTGAAAATTAAGTTTTGCTTCACATTATGATCATGTTTGGGAATGCGATGGGAATGAAATTATGGTCAATGCACCAATTCTTGAGTATCTCACTCTCCAAGATGATTACTTGCCTTGCTATGTGCTAAACAACCTAACCTCGCTGGTTAAAGCATATATTAACGTTGGAGGCTACTCTATTCAATTTGCCGCGACCAAACAACGTACCGATCGTGTACTTGTTATTCTCAGGGAAATACGTAGTGTAAAATATCTATCTCTAGGATCTCGTACCATGGGGGTAATCAAACTTGAACTTCTTTACTTGATCATACTATCAATCTTGAATATCTATTCTTTTATGTTTGTTGGAACTGTTATTTTTTATTTTGACTATTATGTTCTTATCTTATTAAGGCTCTCGACTATGCCGGTGATAATAGTCTGCCGTTGTTCCCAAATTTGATTCGTTTGGAGCTGCATGTTCACAAATGCTATGGCTGGATTCGTCTACTAGACTTGCTCAATAGCATGCCTAACCTGCTATATCTTGTTTTGGAGAAATCAAAGGTGAGTAAACATATGAGGTACAATGTTAAGTATGTATGAAGTTTTGATTCACATCTGAACTTCTGGTTTCTGTCTCTAGAAATTTCAATGTGCTGGAGATGATGCTTCGAAGGATTTCAAATTTGTTGAACAAGAAGTGGTACCTTATTTTCTGTTGATGCATCTTCAAGAAATTGAAATTAATCGATTTCAGGGGCTGCGTGATGAGCTGAAGCTGATAGAGTTTTTCTTGAGAAATTCCAAGGTATTGCGTAAGATTGAAATTAATGCAGTTAATTTAGAAGAAAAGCAAGAGAGAGAGTTTCTCGAGAAACTGCTAATGTTTCCAAGCGGTTCAATAACCTGTCAAATTTTAATCACCCGAAAGGAAAATTTTGCTCCAGCCTCGAGATATATACCATCTAGCACGGTGGAGCTCACACACATGTGAGAGATCTATTGCCCACTCGGCATCTATAGAATTGTTCTTATTTATAACTTTTTTTTTTTGTCATGGAACGAAGTGGGCTCGTTGTATCTCTTTACTATCTACATTGAAAGAAAATTTACTTGTTTTTGTTAAACATGCTTCTGATGAGACAGTTTTTAGGCTATAGTTACCCAAATAATGTCAATTGAAATTAGTTCTGTCAATTCATCATTACCAGGGGAGTTCTAGAGACCCCATTGTTTGTTAGAAGTTGGTGCTTATGACATTACAATATCTACTCTAAAATCAAATTAGCCAGGATTTTTCCTCCATAATGAAGCATTTTCCTTTCTCTTGTATTTGTCAATAGCTATGGTTATGTAATTACAGGTGCTTTATTCCATGTTTGGCCATCATGATTTATAGTTATCCTTTTATCTGTGATGATCAAAATAGTTAATAGGTTTACAGTGTCTCTTCAACAGTTCCAATTTTGTAGTTTCAATTCTGTTAATTTCTCAACCATAATCTGTCCTTGACTTATTATTATTTAATACAATCCTCTAATTGATGATGTTTACTATGCTTCTATTTTTGACCCCTTTGCATTGAAAGAAATAGTTCAAGAGACCCCATTCTTTGTTACAAGATGGAGCTTATGACATTAGACAATGGCTCAATCTCTCTCCTGAATCAAATTTGCAAGGACTTTCTACCTCTTTATTTTTTATTATTATTATTTTTTATGTTATATATGTATGTTATTATAGGTAACTCATTCCATGTAGGATCATCATGATTGATAGTTTAGTTGATGGTGGTGAGCTCATGCCATGTATGTGCCCCACTGCAAGCCTTTCCAAGGTCCGTTTCTGTATTCCAAACCTGCAAGTGTATGTGCCCACTGCAAGCCTTCCAAAGCTTCCAAAAGCTTTGATTTTGAGTTTGATTCTAGTATACACAGCAGCCACTTCTCACTGTCACAATCTTCGGCTGGTACAAGAATATATATATATATATATATATATATATATACCATTATAAGATTATATATAATAATATACTATTAAATATTATTTATACTATATTTGAATTTCCAACCAACTCACCCACATGAATATCAGTCTCTTTTTTTTAAAAAAAAATATTAATTTATATATATATATTTAATTATATTGTGCATTCATTTTTTAATTTTTTGGTTTTTATTGATTTTTGTTTTTATACAAATTTGTTAAATGGAGTCATGTTCTATGGCTACAGGAAATAATGCCTAAATATTTTTTTATTTATTTTTTAGCCTACTTGTTTTTCCTTTTTTATTTCAAAATAGTTTTTTCCAGAAAGATATTTTTATATTATAAGCTGTCAGCTTACAGTAGATTCCTTCCATGTGAAGCATCATGACATTAATTTGAAACTTCTTAGCTCATGCTTTAAAAAAAATAAAAATAAAAATAAAAAAATTATTAAATAAAAGTCTGCTTTCAAAACATTTTTTTTTTATCTCCTCATAAAACAGTCTAATAAACTGTTAAAATACTATGTTGAAAAACAATAGAAATGTTAATTTCTATAAATGACGTCATTTAGGCTGATAAAAAAAAAAAATAGGCTGTTTAATAAAAAAAAATAATACTCCGTAAACAAAAAAGAAGCATCCATAAAATAGATTTCTAAACATGCCTAATGGGTATTTTAGTCAATTTTAATTTCAGTTCCCTTTCTGCTAAACAAATAAAAACTAGATTATTAAAAATATAAGGAGTTTCAAATTTTTTTACTTTTGTAATCTATTTATTTGTTATAACATATTCACTCCATGAAAAAGAGAGAGGGAGAGAGAGAGATTCTAGTGTGAAGTGAAGTATCTGTTTTAAAACTAGTAATATAAAACTTATGTCTATAATAAAATATAAGCTAGTAATATCAGTTTAATAGATTTATCAGGCTCTTTAATGTAAAACTTATGTCTATAAAAAATAAGTTCTATAATGGTCATAGTCTATTGGTACTTTCTTACCTTTTCAAAGTAAAAAAATTCTGGGTGCAAATTTTCGTAAAGACAAAGTGGTTGTATGAATTTTTGACCAACAGGCCAGTGACCTAGCGGTACCAAGCTTCTACTTTTCAAAGAGAAGTCAGGGGTTCGAGCCTCTGTGTGTGTGAGTACCCAACTAGGAAAAAAAAAAAAAAAAATTCAAAAAAATCTAAATAAAAAATAATAATAATAATCATAATAATAGTTTTAAAATAAATAAATGACCATCCCACATGCACCTGCTGGTGATGTTTATGTTTATCTTATGCCAATTTATGCAGTAGACATACATACATTTTCAATGATACTTTTGTTTCACTAAACACCTAAAAGACATGTACAATTTTGTCTCAGTCTCTCTTTCATTTCCTTGTTTCTTGTCACCCATTTTCAGATCTAATTACAAAGACACATGAAACCTCTCTTAACAGATATTGTTGTTGTCCATGTGAGCGGATCATGGATAGTACAACACAAGTGTTATACTGCATTCAAGTTAAACTCGTTGTAAATGTTTCGAATTTGGACGAGTTTTTAGAGCTTTCTTCTTTCCCAGATGAAATAGTGTAGGCTGTTTGTTTCTCAACCCTTTTATATGATCTAAAAAGAACCAAATCCACCAACTCAAGAGAAGATAAACAAAAGGCTTTACAAACAATAAGCACCATAGACAAGAGTAGAAGATGAAGAAAAAAAGATGATGATGGCTATTATAAATAATGCTCAATATTGCCACCAAACAATACTCAATGGATTGGATTGAAAATTGCATGTAAGTCCCAAGTGGTAATAAATAACTTGGTAGTGGAGCATTTTCAAGCAATAGCATCGGTAGATGAAGTGTACAAAGAATGATTGAATAGTAAACCCTAAAGAACATAAATAACTGGAGATCTATGGTTGAAAGAACACCAATTCCATTTACTGCCATTGATACTTGGTAGTTTTTTTTGTATAAAATGTAGTGTATAAACTAACTCTAAATTTTCTAAAACCAGATTGATCCGTCAGGACCATGAAATTACAATACAAAATGCTTCAGTTGACATGTGTCGATAAACTTTGACATGTTAAATTTTGAATTTACAATACAAAATTAAAAAACCTACAAAATGGGAACAGTTGAAGAGACATTGTACACATGTAAACTATTGATCATTGCAGCTCAAAGGAGCACAGTAACACAAACTACCATTACATAAAATAAAGTACATGAGACAAGTACATACATGACATTGACAAAAGAAAGGGAAAATGATAGATTATAGAGGGAGAGTACTTGCCAATTTGATATAGAAGTAGATATGTGGGATGGTCTAATATTCGAGAAAGTAAAATTTGAACACCAACAGTTTATTGAGAAACTCTCTCTCTTGATGTTGTTCTGGAATTACAGGAGTTAATTGTCATCTTTGGCAATACTTTAGCATTTCTCAAAAAATAATCTTATCAGCTTCTGCTCCAGCTCACAACTCTGCCCCTGAAATCCGGTAATTTCAATTTCTTGAACATGAATAGACAGACAACAAGGCACCACTTCTGGTTCAACTTTGGGGCGGACCGTGAATTCAAAGATGCCAATATCTCATTTAATCGTGCAATAATCCAAGCTTTCCCGGCTTCTGTTGGTGCCGAATTTGGATCTGTTAACATGAGCTCCTTCTCTTCAAGTCTCTATTTCTCTATAATCTCTAGCTACCTTGTCTTCTCTTTCTCCATTTTTCTTACCTTTCGTGCCACTTGGGCATCCTACATTTTCTCCTGACGACTCTCAAAATGGGTGGTGATATTATTAAATTTTGAAACGAATGAAGTTTGCAATTCATTTGCTGAATTAATTTTTGCCCAACGCTGCTTCGCCGCTTTTCTTCCTACTAGTCTTTGTAGTTGATATTCTTCCACACCAGGTGAATCATTTTCCCCTATGTATGGTGATCCTTCAGTTGAAGCTCCATCTGTCGTGGCTGCATGACTTGACGAAGTAGATGGTAATGAGTGTCCAACAGACTCATTAATGTCAAAGTCAAATCCACTTCTCTTCTTCGGCTCTTTTTTCTTTTTTCCTTTTCGTACTTGTTCGGCACAATGTGAATTCCATTTATTGTTATGCTTCAAGATCTCCCAGCAACTTTTTAACTTAAATTCACCACCTGTTTGGCTACGAAACAAGTCTTTAGCTGCTATCATCTACACGAAAAAATAACAAAAAATTAAAATGCCGACTATTTAAAATATTTACGAGTTATATTTAAACAATAAATAACTCACCATATCATCACTGCTGAAGCCGCTAGGACGATTCATTTCTATGGTAGTCATGCAGCCGAAAAATTTGCTGATTTTTTGTTGGATCACCTACCAACGATTCATCAAACCTTCATCATTCGCTCAGTTGGAACACCAATATGTTGTTTATATTGTTCCAGAATTCGCTCCCATAACTTCTTCTTACTTTGGTCTGCCCCTGTAATCGCATAAGAGGTAATGGACAGTCACGCCCAACATAAAGCCTCATCTTCAGCCTT